TTTTTCTTAGTGTTTAATCAGATTTAAAACAATTCTAGATTAATAAACAGACTTAAAAATCTAAATTCTCAACCAATTTGTTACTAATTAATCAAAGATTAGTATTTTTGTGAGTTTCCAAATAGCAAGGAAAATGTAAATATAGATGTAAAATAACAGACATTCCTAAATTCTGGAATAAGGTTGAACATTTCTATTGAATTTCGAATGCACCAAAGTAATCAAAAAAGAATCATTGATGATAGCCATAAAACCAAGCCGATGAGTAACGTCCAATCAGAAATCGGTTACAAGACAGTTAGTGGGCATGGGACATAACAACACATCAATGTTTATTGCCTCCCATGACGCAACTCTATGTTTGACATGCTCCAGATAGATTCTGCTATCTTTAATGTAAGTAAGTTGAGTGACAAACAGACAAATTTTACTATCTTATCAGATTGTAATTCTCAGTTGACTTTACTGGGTTCTATTGCAACTGGAGGAAACTAGACCAAATTTTAACTCAGTTAATATTCATCATGTATCATTGTTTCATCATTTTTTTCATCATCATACTCCATACTCCAACCAACTCTCTTCCCATCAATGGTGTTTCCCACCAATCTTAATTCTTTTTTGGTTGCACTGATACAGGTATTTTATTTAATCTCTCTGGAATTTACAAACAATTCTCTCCACTGTTCCTTTTATGATACCCTAAAAATTTTCCTATTGTATAAGGAATTTTCAATCCTTAAATAAAAAAAAAATAATTAAAATAAAGAGGGTTGTTCAAAAGAAATATATAATTTCCTTGTCCTTAAGTTTAGCAGTGCTTGCATTTACATCCAAGGGGATTAGTTAGATTGATTATAGATTAAGTGTATATTTACATTACAGATTACATTATTATCAAAGTAAAATACAATAAAGTGTACGGAACATGAAAAACTATGCGTTAAAGGCCATATTATTTTGTAAAATGTTTAGTTACAGTAAAAATAAATTGGTTTGATCTCAGATCTCTGGACCAAATTAATTACAGTATACTAATTTAATTTTGAGTTGTTAAGAAATATCAAGATTGAGCAATTAATGCTCCTCTAGGGTTAATAAGTTGAACAAAGAGATGATAAAACTAACTATAATTTTTAGAGCTTATCATCAATTAACCAGCTTATTCTTCTATACAGTATAAATTAATAAGAGTGATGATTAAAATTTACCATTAATTTGACATTTGCATGGACATAGATCCAAATGAAAAAATATGAAACTTTAACACATTTTAATTTTTTTTTATCAACGTGCGAGGAACTAAAAAAATCTATAATTTCAAAAAAGATTGTTTTGGGACTCTATAAAAAAATTAATATTAGCCTAGTTTAATATAAAGATATATACGATAAAGATATAAGTTTAATATACGAGATAGCAATATTTGCAGTAAGCAATTTCAAACAATTTGTATCATCAGATAAAACAAAAGTAAGATACTCGTATGATTTTGCTGTGTGAGCAAAGATAGCTGAACCAGAATAACTGAAGGTCAGACTTAAGAGGAATAGATTTTAGTATATACAATCTCAAAATAAAGAGTGGCTACTTTTTTATTCTCCGATAGTACAATACACTGCTGTAACCAGCTGTTTTGGAGTGAATATTTAAGGTTGAATTTGAAATGATATAATTAAAAAATATCTAAAAAGAACAATAAAACAAGTCATAAAAGGCAATGACTGTGATTAATCATGTGGGTCAGTATAGTCTCAACAACAATCACAGAAACAAAAGATCCTAATTATAAAAAATTTTGAATTAAAAAAAATGTCTATGTTGGTTGTAAATATTAACTCTAGGAAAGGTTACAAAATATAAATTATTTTTAAATCAGTGCTGTTTGGTACAAATCAATCCTAGGGAAACAAACCGTTACAATTTAAATTGGAATGGCCATAACTATTTTTATTTTTGGGAAATACAAAAAGAAACATTTTGAATCCTTGGGCCAGTTTGTAAATCTACACAGCACGGATAACATTTCTTCATACACAAGTTGACTATTGGAATTATTTACAAGATGTGACGTTTAGTGAATGATAATCATGAAACAAGGACCTCTTAAATAATTAGATATCAAACGTCTTATAATCTCTCTTTCTCAGTTAAAGATTCTTTTGAAGGGCGTAAGTAGGTACTGTACAAGTCTTGCAAGCAACTAACTTAGGAGGCCTAATGCCTAAAAATGTAAAATTACAAATTATTACAAAAAAATCAGTAAGCGACTATAATAAATAAATATCCATTTAAGAATTATATTAGCAGTAGGACAAGGAATTAATTGATATTAGCAGTAGAGCAAGAAATTAATTGTTGAACTGGAGATCTGGGTAAACATCTCAAAATTATCACAAGTAAATCTGAAGATTATGTAATCCATCAGTTGCTCTAGCGAAACACTATCATATCACAAATCTACAAGATTATGATGTTAACTTGATAGACAAATCTAAAGAACGAAATGAGCGAAAAATATTATGAATTCAAAACTCTACAATAAGGAAAACAAAAAGCAAAATACTTTGAAAGTAAACAATGATATAACCTTAAAATATTTTACATACCTAGTCTGTTAAGACCATGACTGTAATGTCCTCTATTATCTGCTTCTACAAGAACATCAGCTAAAGCTGTGGCGTTTGCTTGAGGTGTCCCCACAGCCGTCATACAATCCACACAAAACCGGCGAACTTCAGCTAAAGCAACTCGCGCCATAGTTGCGTCTTTGACAGCTAGCAGACGACAATAGCTTTAGCGACGTTAGCGTAGTGTAGCAGAAGCGAATTCAATGTCAAACAGTTGTTGGAGGGGGGCGTCAGCTGATTGGAAGTCGCCAAGTCACATGACTAACCTTCAACTTGTTTATCCACTGCTACCATAACCGGCACGCAATTAAGTAATCAATAAACATGAGAAAGGGTGGATTGTAGAAGGGATCAGTATTTTGCGGAGTTTTAAATATTGTGAATAACTGTTTTTATTATATTATAATCTTTTGAACGGTAGTCAATGTATGTGATCGTTGATGTATACATACATGGTTTGTAGTTATTATTTTGTCACTGCTATTAAATACATACAACAAATAATCATCATGACACAAGAAAGGGTGTATGCTAATGCAGTAAATGGGGTGTAATTCAATAGTTTTGGGTGTTTACAATTATTAATAATATTTTTGAACGACAGTCAATACCACTGTATATAGCTGAATTAGTTAATGTCAGTATGTGTTGTTAAAGTGATGAATCACTATGTGTTCTTGGGTCAACGATCAATGTAGTAAGTTAGTTTGTAAGAAAACGAGGGTTCTTCAAGACTTTGAAACTAGTGGGTATAACACACAAAACTATTTTATAAAAAGTTTTATTTGAACTTACATTTTAAATTAAACACAAGCAACTTACAATTAAGGACTATTTACAATTATATACACATGTATTCCATCTTTATTAATGACACACAGCGAATAATAGGTTTTATGTTTTTTTTTATTTTAATTATTCTAGGACAAGGTATTTTCATAAAAATCTATCTTTTTGTGACCTTAATTCCGGATTTTAATATAATTCGACAAATTACTAAACATATTTTTAGTAACAATAATACACCCACAAAAGACACATTGAACTACAAATCACTAAAAATTAGAGCACTCAAATAAAAAATTAACATACCTATACATCAACAATGATTTTTCCGATTCTTAAAATTTTACATTGGACAGTATATTACAATTTAGTTCTCCTGTGAAATGCAATCAAACTGATGAGGTATATATTTTTTACCTTATCATAATCATTGTTTTACTGGAAATAAACGCATTACAAGCTGAAGTTTAGAGCTTTTTAGTTAAACAATAGAACAAGAATGGTTGATTTCAATAAGGAATATTTGCACACCAGGAGAAAATCAGCCTACGTTAAACACTCATGAAAAAAATAAAATAAAATAGAACTCCTTCTTTATTGAGGCGAACCAAGGAAAGGCTTACGGTTTGGATGATCGTGTATTTTAGCATATAAATTATAATAAATAAATGATAAATGATAATGGTATGATAATGGTAATATAAATTATAAGATGATTTAAGTTACTATTTTAAAGCTCTTGTGCATCACAGTTTACAGAAGTGCAATATACTTAAGGCACTTTTTCACAATTCTATGCTTAATTATTACACTTATCAAATGAATTGTACGTGTATTTAAGGCAATTTTCCATTTTTGTTGGCTGTCTATTTTGTCAATTTTTATATCCATTAGTTATTATAAAATTGATATGGCAAAATAAATTGACTACCTCAAATTTTTAGCACTTACAATAGGCCTATGACAAGAACAGATACGTTACTTCTAACTTATTTTCTCCCTGTGATACTAGCATAAACATTAGAAAACAGTTGATATATCCAGGGATTTTATAGATAAAATAAATGCATGAATGAACTAACTTATGACCTTAAATGGTAGGAGACCTATTATTTTTGTTTTCTAGATGCGTTTACCTGCTGATTAAGATGGGTTTCGAACCTTCGGGTTATACGATTATTACATAGCCAAGTTATTATTTGCGATTGGCAACATTTGAACCAGGGCCATCGAGATTTTCTAGTCATGACCTTTGACTACCAGACCAGCTTTGGAATACCAGCCATAAAGATTTTGGAATTACTAGATATACTTGTCTATTTCCTACGATTTAAGCTCTGCAAGGGAATAATAAATTTTTACTATGCTGAGCAATGTTTAATAATTAAACTAGCAATATAAAACCACTTAAAACCCCCCAAAGAAGTTAGGTAAATTGTCTTCTAAAGTGCGTTTTTAAAACACAACCACTTTGTAGAACATTTTTGTACTTCAATAAAAAAAATCAACAGCAAAATATTTTAAATGGCCATCTAATGTCTATCAAAGCATTTTCCTTCAAACTTTGTTCTTTGATTATTTCAAATACCTTTAATTTCTTTGAGCACTTTTTACAATACATTTTACATATATTTCGATTATTTCGAACATATTTTTGCAACACACTTTTCACTACCCCCAAATCAACTGTCCTCATCAGCGTAGATCATATATACGTTAGCTGGTCCATGTATATAGTACAGACTTGATTACTCTGTGTCTCTAGCCTCATGGCAGCCTCGTAGGTTGGTAGCCCTGAGTCATCCTTTTTCTGTTGCTTCATCACGGCCTGGTACGAGGGTGGGGGTGAAGGTTGAGGCGTCGGCTCGTCTACGAACACACCTTCTATCTCGTAACACTGCTGCTGTGGATAACGGTTGGCAGTAAATATACAGTGATAAAAAATGTAGAGCAAATTAAAATTGGTGTGTGTTGCTAGTTTAAATTTATTAGGCTTAGGCGTGAGATGATAGTATTGTAGGTTGATCCCTGTTATAATAATATCCTTAGAAAATCGAGGATTGGACTGCATACTTTCATTGAAAATTAAACAGCTGTAGTAGACACCAAAAAGAAATTAAAAATAATTTGTGGTGATAGGACTAATGTGTTGACCACGTGAACAATAAACCCCTGAGGAGTATGTTTTATATATATAAAAAAAACCCTGAGTTACTGAGTTATTCTATAGTATTCGCCAACAAAATATCTTTAATTATGAATGACTATATAAAACAATAAAACCACATACTTGTATTTTTAAAGAGTAGACTATAAAATTAAAAAATCAAGAATCTTTCAATTTAACGAAATAACTCCTTTTATGTACTTTTTCCTACAAGTACTCCTGAGTTGTGATGAATTGATACATAATCTAACAAAACATTGCAAACAGTGATAATTCACCCCCCCCCCCCGATGAGTGCGGGTCAAAAGTGGTTCTAGAAAATTTGATTTTTTGCATCGAGTTAATACTTTGATACTTTTAGTACTGTATGTCGTAAGAACAGTTACTAGGCCTAATTAACTTAGGAACTCACTTCAGTGTGTATTAAATTATTCAGTACACAGGTTAGTTAGAAATAAACGTTTTACTGGTGACTAACAAATCAAACTGGCCTCACTCATCATCATCAACACTAACAGAATATACAAGGCACATTGCTGCAAACTCACCTGTCCATCTAGTGTAAAAACTTGCATCATTGAGTCAGACTCTTCCGAGTTGTGTAGCCACTGCTCACTAGAGTCCGTCTGTAGCTCTGCCTTCTGGACTCTTTTGTGACAACAGTAGCAGATGCAGAACACCACCACCAGCATTCCTCCCATCATCACACTAAAACAATATAAATAAATAACCACAACCTCAAATCAGATTTTCACAATTGGCCTCAAACGAGACCGATCAACGACCAGCCAGCCAGTCTACACAACATCGCAAACACCCTTCAATTGTTCAATACCATTTCTAAACTCCCTGTACCCCGTACGATCATGTACTGCGTCTAATAGCTGTCGTAAAATGTTAACGTCTGTAAACTGGTATGATCATCAACATCGGTTGTCGCCTCGACAGAAAAACCATCACAGAACGCGATTCATACTTAGGAGTGTCGATTTTCCTTCTCGTCGTTTTTGGCAGATATGACAAGACTAAAAAATTGTTGCTTAAGGATGGGATCCGGCAATTATAGTAGTAAAAGGAGTAAAAATCATAGCGTTGGTGTCACATTTGATGCGATGGGAGCTCATTTGTGACCTTACATTACTGACGAGTCCCGATTGTTTCACAATGTACCACACACACTAAGAAAACACCATCGTCTCTTTAGTTATGAGTAATTTACACTTCAAATTGGACTTATTTAAATTTTTTTTAGTTTAAGAACTTAAAACCCTAGATCTGGCGGCGTCGTCTGCTAGCCGTGCACCTGTGAGATGGCAGAGGTTTTGGTCAACTTTGGTAGTGGCCTCATTAAACTGTTAATAACTCTGTTATATTGAATGGAAAACACAATAAATTATATATATTCTGATTCAGCACAAAACAATGAACAATTTAGTGAAAATTATTTATTTTTTTACTCATAGTTGTCATAGTAACAAAGTAACAAAGAGATAAGTTTTTTTTTTTTTACTTTGAAAAATAAAATTTAAAATTTTATTGATTATAAGAAGTTTTACAATTTTTTTTTCTTATAAAGATATATTGGAAAAAGTTTGGCAGTTTAGTACTCTACATAGTAATATAAAGACTTTTGGAATAATTGTAAAAGGATTAGTAAAAAGTCAATAAATCTTTCAAAATGTGTTTTCACAAAAAAAACGCAAATAAAATTTTGAGTGATGTCAAAAATAGTAATAAATTCCAAGAGTCAATAAAAGTTGCATGTTTATACTCAAAAACCATAGGGCTTTCAATAAATATTTGTATTTTACTGATTATTGCAACTGAAAAAATTAAAAAACTCAAAATATAAACAACTTCTACATTTTTTATGAAAAATGTATAACATATTCGCATGAATGAAATGATTATAAAATCTTCAATACCTCATGTATGAAATTCTGAGATATAAATTTTGTTACTAATTTTATGTACTTTTAGAATATATATAGGGTTTTTTGCTAAACCTAAGTAATAAGTCTCCTATAGAGTGTTTTGTAGAAAGTCGCAACCGAAAAATTCATTTTCGAAAAAAGTGACAAGTCATTACAAAGTGATATGGTGAAAAAAAACAAGTCATAAACTGGGTTGAAAAACATTGAAATATATATTTTATGACTAAATATGATTATTACAAATATTTACAAAGTAAGCCTACATTGTATTTGGCATACAAAATTAAAATCGGCTAAGCCTACGCAAAAAATTGGCTGCCAACCAAAAAATGAAATAGCCTTGGCCTAAATTAGAAATAAACTTATAATGAAGAAAGTATATTTACAAGCATGGTTATAGGCTATAAACTGTACAAACAAAAAAGAAATAGGCCTAAATTATAAAAAAACTTTATTAATAAGTCGCCTAAAGAGTTTTGTACTGCACTGTCACAGCACTATAAAAAATCACCTGTTTTCAAAATTTCCCACACGCGTATATAGAAACGCCCGTAGATGTTTTATATATGAAAAATAAAGCCCGTAATCTCATCTTCACAACAGTATAGGTTGTTAGTAATTTATTCCATCATAACACAACGAAATATGTGTTTTTGAGTGTGCCAATGACAAATTCGGCTCAATGAGCCTCTGCCATCTCACACTACACTTGCCAAATTCAGCTCATTGAGCCTCTTGCCAGATGTAGGGTTTTAAAGATTGCGTTAGAATGTTCTGATTTGTTTAGCTTAAAAATAAATAGTCCTTATGATTAAAATTGGGACAAATTGCATGTGTATAAATAAATAAAAAATGATTTTGCCAATGAATTCCAAGCAAATAAAGTTTCATGGTGGAATAAAGTTTGCCAAACCCATATTCAATTTTAGAAAATCCCAAACTTGATAATTGTAAGTTGGTAATTTAGTTTAAATTCCATTTCCAAACCTTACGTTCCATGGGTAGTCTTCTGATAGTGTAACATAAACTACTTTCCTTATGTTGATTGAGATTTTCGTTGCATTGTCAAATTATTACATGGATACAGTATTTTCGCTATGCAACTTCTAAGGTCCTATATACTTGGATTGCTGTCAAATTTTTCAAACTAATAGGCACATCGTACACTTTATACTTACAAAATATTTATTAAACTGTTTTCTCAACTACATTGAATAAATACATTTTAAATATAAAATAAATAAATTAATTTCGAACGCATTTCCTAAAACGGCTTACAATTTGTCACAAGAACCATATCAAAACGACAGAAATATTGTTGTGGAGGGAACCGGAAATAGATATCAGCTGAGTGGGAGTAAAACTCAGTCAGTCTCTGAACTTTGATATGTTTATGTCGTGAAGTGTTACAGTATAAGGAAATCAGGTATTATATTCAATTCAAATAAATTTATCGCCTTGTTTTTGTCAATACGTTAAGTTATTTTCGTTTTGAGGATTACGCAATGTGTAAATGTTTTGTTTTTCTGGAGTTAAATGGCGTTAACCAATTTTTTTGGTTTTACTCGACCTTTTGGCAACAATTTAAGAAAAAGAATAAGAATATTTTTACTATATTACTATGAGTTGAGCTGTTTCGTTATGTGCCTACAACCTGCGAAACATCATATTTTCAACAGCTGTCTATTATTTACCACTGAAAGTAACATTGTTTACAACAGAAAATTTTCCACTGTCAAAAACTTCAAATATTTGTTATTGTTTAATCAACTGTTTCGATTTTCAACAACTAAAGTAACTATTAACTTTTAATTGAAGGCATAACCTAAAAAATTCTATACATTTTTTAATGAAGAAAAGAAATTATTCTTTTTAGTGTACCGAAAAGTAACGTTCAAAACACGAGTGAAAGTGGGTCTATATATTTAAACTCTCGACCATTTAAAATCTCGCACTTCGAACATGGTCTCAAATATGTAATGATTCACTTTCTACTCTTGTTATGAAATATACTAATAAGGAGTAGAGCATTGAAGTGAAAAAGTTCACAAACAAAAAGTAAGCCTTGTTTGTGTTGTCATCGACACTAAACAATAAAACTAATATTATAAATTAAACTAATTCTAGGCATTGAATTCATATAAACAAAGTGTATATCATTGTCCTAGGCCTATTAGAATCTTTTTTAATCAGCTGATAAAATAAAAAATTATAAGGAAAGATAACAATTAAAATATAGCGTTTATTGTTATTGCACTGGATATTAAATAAAATAATAAATTTCTCTCATGTTTAAATTTGATGGTTGTAAGGCTTGGGACGAAGTCCTAAATTGATATAATATTTTGATTCTGATAGGATATTATCTACATCATTGTATAATTTCATCCGATTTAGTTGATTAGGTACCAAGCACATACACATATAATATCAGTTTAGATTAGTCACTGCTATAATTTAAAATTTAATAATATAGTTAAATCACGTAGTTCCATATAGTTCCTTTATTACATCGTACTGCACTAAGTAGCCTAGGAGTTTTTCACCCCTTACCTGCAAGGCTAGAGATATACAGTATATCTCTAACCCTGCCTTACCTGTATCAAAACGAAGATAAATCATGCCATTCAACTTTTCTTCCTTTAATCAATGGCGGTTGTGTTTGTATACTTAGAATTTAAAAACCGCACAATTTTTTACAAGATAAAATTTAAAATTTAAATGCTCAAAATTTAAAACTTGTTTTATTGTCAATCTAATTTAAAGTGTAATGAACCAAACCCGATGGCAGCTAGTCATTGGGCCGTGTGGTCAGGTATTTAACATGTTATTACACTCATTTGCATCTGGAATGTTTATCATTGGGTGAGTTTCGCGGGTAATTTACCTCTGACATCATTAGGACATGTTAAACTGACCGATATCATGTTTGCTGACTGTAACACCCAACATACAACATCCAGCCTGTCTCGGTCACTCATTGGTGGTATTTATTGTGTTTAACTTCAATAAATGTACCGCTCAAACATTAGCTTGGACAATTATATATTTTTAGATAAAATACAAGGACAAATAAAGTTTTTTTTTTAATTTTTGCCATTTAACATTCCTGTAGAATTTATTTAATTTTTAATTGTTTGAAATACATTTGAATAATTTAAAACTTTTTTAAAGTGAACACTAAAAAAGTCTATGTTATAGTGCATGAAACACAGAACTCATGTGAAAATACCAACTTCAATACTCATATATCCAAACAATATCTATTTTAATCAATAAAGTTTTCTCACACTTGCACTGTTAATAATTCAAGTTATTATTCTTTTTCATGGTAGTTTTATTTTATTTAATTTTAATGACCATTTAATTCTAATTACTAAGACATTTGACGATGTCATTGTACAATACATCTAGTGTGGTAAAAAATTTGAAGAAATAAATATGTTTTTTAATGATCTAAAGCCCCAAAAATAATACAAAACCCATAAATATTTTTATGTATTTTTTATTGAAAACTGCAAACTTGGTTATATATAAAAAATAATAAGGAATATTAAAAGTTTAAATTCATTCTTAAAATACGTGTACATAATTAAAATGTGCATATTTTATTATTTTTTTTATTACATTTTCATATTTTCCTTGATGATCTATTATTTTACTTCATTTTAAAATAAAATTGAAAGCATAAATTAAAATACTCCGTGCAAGTAACGTATCTAAGCACCTGCACATATTTCAACGCAGTCGGCAGTATTGCGATGCATAGCTCATGATGCTGTACTCAAACAGGCGTCTTTAAAATTAACTGTAGAACAATCATTCATAAATACTAGTGTACCTGTTGCTCGAAATCGAGCAATTGTCAAGTACCGGTATTATACAGAAGTTATTGTAAAACTACAGTAATAACAGTCATAATTTTCGATGAGTTTAAAAGACCCGACTAAATGCTTATGTAACTAATTGAAATACTCATACTATTTAATAGCGCTTTGAAATAATAAACGCTTCTTACAAAAATATTTTAGAATTTTTTGGACCCAGCCTTATTTTTTATGGTTTTCTACAAATGTTTCCCGACTTAAAGCTGTTACCAGTAAACCTTTCTTGCATGTTTTTATTTAATCTGACTTTAGGTAGGTTTACTTTACCACTGTAACAACATGATGTGTATATTCTTCATGTTTTTTTTCTTTCCAAAATAAGTTGCTTAGCATAACTGGCAAAAATGATTCATCTCCCCGAGTGATTGTGTACCTGGATTCCTTACTGTGACACCAGGCCTCTCCTCTACTCTTCTCATACGTATAAGATTTCCTATTAATTGTCTCCTCTCCCTGTTTTCAACATTTCTCCTTTAAACGCAAGTAATTGTATGTTTTTCCAACAAAACTGAATGACTGTTTCGATTTGTCTATAACCTCCTTAATATTACAAACATCTATATTTACTCCCAAAAAGCTGGTGAGTTTCTTTTTATATACAGCTGTTTTTGTTTTTAAATTTGTTTTCAATGTAATTCTTATGGGGGGAAATGCGACCTTTGAGAACGTCTCATGCCCTTAAGGGTAGGAGTTTTTAAATTCTAAAACCTTTATGCAAAACTACGAATTAAGACGAATTATTTGACACCTCAAACGTTAAAATTGGTCCAGAAATAACGGAGGAGTTTTGTTCACAAAAAACAGCCCTCACGTATTAATATAAGAGATACACGAAATGTTGAATTGTTGAATTTCCCAAAACAGTATACAAATAATCGTGGAGATAAGTGAATAAATTGGCTAAACATATTTGACAAATATGTACAATTAAAATAATAATCGTGTACATAAAGGAATAGAGAGGAACATAATTTATGAAACAAAAATAAGTTCAAAAGCGTTAAAATATAATTTTTTTAGATTCACAACAATCTTTCCTGTCAAAAAATAACACATTTCTCCAGCAAAACATTAGGGCTTACGGATTTTAGATTTATTCGTGATGAATGATTTTCGTTGAAATTGAATAAGCAATGTTGTCAACCTTCATAGACAAGTTGGATGAATGCCAAGTCTAACATATTACACTAATTTACACCCGCACTGATTTACAATCGGATGCGTTTCTCGGCTTATTAATCAGCTGAAATGTGAACATGTTTAACTGACCGGTAAAACGTCATTGAATGGATATTTATCAGCTCAATATTGAGGTTAGGGGGAACACTTGTAAAGGGATATTTGAATTGTGAATTTGTTTGTTACGATTCTTAATGTTGTTATTTTGGCAATATTTAAAACCGTTGATTTCTAGGAAGGAGTACATGTATTTACAACTTGTATGGTTTACTAAACGCACGTTTTGATTGTTTGTTGAGTAAATATATTTTACAACCAAACGAAAACAATCTAATGTTTTATGACCTCTTATGATGCATAGACGGGACAGCTTAAATGTTCTTATGTCAACCATCGATGTTGAGTATATTGTTTTACAATTACTATCAATGGTATAATACGAAACATTTATATACTTTTTGTGGCTATGTTTTTGTGTATGTATTTTCTGAAATTTTTGTAAAAGAACTGTCAAAACCCTGATTTGTTTACCATCCATCGTTGACCTATTGTAAGATAGCATCATTGATATCGTAATGATAATGAAATACCCCCGCCGCAGCAAACCTGCCGACTAAGCGAATTTCCATTCGTCTGAATTGATTTTAAATTAAATCTATTTAAATAACATTAATTTAAACGAGTACCTAGGTTTAGAAGGAAATTAATAAAGTGTGTTTTTAGTAAAATACCAATAGCTTAGTTTAAAATAAATAAAATTGCCAAGTTTGTTCAAACTATATCCATAAACAAGCAAACTACAACATTTTACAATGTAAATTTTCGATTTTTTGAATTTTCTCCGTTACCAATAACCGTACAAAAACAGTTTGTATGCTAAATTATTTGTTTTTTATGCTCTTTAAAAAAGTCTAGAGAGACATTGGGAAATGTGGTATTTTGAGGGTCAACAATGAGATACACAAATTTTTACCCCATAATGCTGGTTGGCGATAATAGCTACTTCCCTATAGGGAAGTTCGCTAAAACGACAATGACTCAGAACGAACTCAGAATGAATTTATGGATTGAACCATTAAGTTAATGTATTGAAGACGAACACTACGACTAAACGGCCAACCATTTAGTCAATATTATCATACAAATTTACTTAAGAACACAATCAATATGTATATACACAACCTATAGTGTATATTGAAATTTAATATATCATAAAAATATACTATTACATCTTATAACATCTTATATTAACAGGGTTGTAATTTACCTATTTTGCTAGTGTGTGCTGGAAAATAGTTAGATTTTTTAAATATGTATAAAACTGGGTTATTAGATATCCGCATAATCGTAGTTTTCGACA